TGTAAATTTTATCCTTCTATTAAAAATCTTCTGAATATTCCACCAAATCTTGATCCAAAAAGCCTTTACATTTCTATATAACCACCAAATATGATAATACGTTGCATCCAAACAACCACATCTCCAACATTTGGGCTGTACATTCGGATACATACGAAACAACTTTTGTGGATCAAGGTGCCACCTATAATCTTCTTAAAAACTTCCAGTGTTGGAGCATTCACCACTTCTGGAGGCAGGTTGTTCCATTGGTTCATTGTTCTCACTGTCAGGAAGTTTCTCCTTAGTTCTAGGTTGCTTCTCTCCTTGATGAGTTTCCATCCATTGCTTCTTGTCCTGCCTTCAGGCGCCTTGGAGGATAGCTTGACTCCCTCTTCTTTGGGGCAGCCCCTGAGATACTGGAAGGCTGCTATCCTGTCCCCCCTCGTCCTTCTCTTCATTAAACTAGACCTATCCAATTCCAGCCACCGTTCCTTATATGTTTTAGCCTCCAGTCCCCTGATCCTCTTTGTTGCTCTTCTCTGCCTTTTTTCTAGAGTCTCAGCATCTTTTTTACATCGTGGTGACCAAACCTGGATGCAGGATTCCAAGTGTGGCCTTACCAAGGCTTTGTAAAGTGGTATTAACACTTCACATGATCTTGATTCTCTCCCTCTGTTGATGCAACCCAGCACTGTGTTGGCTTCTTTGGCAGCTGCAGCACACGGCTGGCTCCTATTTAAGGGATTGTCTTACAAGAGTACGTTTAGTGACCGTTCCAAGTTACAACGGCCCATTTTTCACCCTTTGCACAACCGTTGCAGCCTCCCCCTAGTCACGTGATCAGGATTCGGCCGCTGGGTAACTGACTCGCCTCTATGACGGTTGCAGGGTCCCCGGCGGTCCCACGATCCCCCCTTTCCGACAAGGAACGTCCTTGGGGACGCCAGACTGACTTAATAACCCCTGCGGTGATTCTCTTAACAACTGTGGCAAAACGGGGCAAGACTCACTTAAGAAATATTTCGCTTAGTAACAGAAATTTTGGGCTCCAATGTGGTTGTAAGAGGAGGACGACTTAGGTAAATCTAAGCACTGCGGCGGTTGCTGTTTAAGCTTCCATCCCCTGCCTAGCTGGTGCTGATTCTGTTACCCTCGTTCCTCTCCCTCCCCTGGAACAGGGAACCCTCTCCAGGCTCTTGAACTCAGACCACACTTATTCCCAGTCGGAGGAGAAAGGCCCATTCCCAGCTCTCTCTCTGCTTCAGGACAGCAGCCAAAGGCAGCCGTGGGGGGTGCTGAGCCTCCCCTGGGCCACTGGCAAGTGAGGGGAGGAAGGATTTCAATTAGAATAGAGATGGGAGGGACCTTGGAGGTCTTCTAGTCCAACCCTCTGCTTAAGCAGGTGACCCTATACCAGGGGTCTTCAAACTTGGCCCTTTGATGACTTGTGGACTTCAACTCCCAGAATTCCTCAGCCAGGCGTGCCTGGCTCAGGAATTCTGGGAGTTGAAGTCCACGAGTCATGGGGGGGCCGAGTTTGAAGGCCCCTGGTTTAAATATTTAAATATTTTTTCCTCACAGTCACATGATCAAAATTCAGGCATTTGGGCAGGGGTAGGCAACCTTGGCCCTTTTATGACTGGTGGACTTCAACTCCCAGAATTCCTGAGCCAGCCATGCTGAGGGGAAAGGGAGAGGTTTCCAAGCTGAGCCATGCTGGCTCAGGAATTCTGGGAGTTGAAGTCCACCAGTCATGAGGGGGCCATAGTTCCCCCATGCTGGCTCAGGAATTCTGGGAGTTGAAGTCCACAAGTCATAAAAGAGCCAAGGTTGCCTACCCCTGGCCTAGTCCATTGTTTCTCCATCTCAGCAACTTTAAGACGTGTGGACTTCAACTCCCAGAATTCCTGAGCCAGGCACACTGAGGGGAAAGGGAGAGGTTTCCAAGCTGAGCCGTGCTGGCTCAGGAATTCTGGGAGTTGAAGTCCACAAGTCATGAGGGGGCCACAGTTCCCCCATGCTGGCTCAGGAATTCTGGGAGTTGACGTCCACAAGTCATAAGGGGGCCACAGTTCCCCCATGCTGGCTCAGGAATTCTGGGAGTTGAAGTCCACCAGTCATGAGGGGGCCACAGTTCCCCCATGCTGGCTCAGGAATTCTGGGAGTTGACGTCCACAAGTCATAAGGGGGCCACAGTTCCCCCATGCTGGCTCAGGAATTCTGGGAGTTGACGTCCACGAGTCATCAAAGGGCCAAGTTTGAAGACCCCTGCCCTATACCATTTCAGAGAGGTGGCTGCCCAATCTCTTCTTGAAACTATCCACCCACAACCTCTGGAGCCAAGCCGTTCCACTGAATAGCAGAGGTGGAAGGGGCCTTGGAGGTCATCTAGTCCAGCCCCCTGCTCAGGCAGGAAACCCTATACCATTTCAGACAAATAACCGTCCAGTCTCTTCTTTAAAACTTCCAATGTTGGAGCATTCACAGCTTCTGGAGGCGGGTAGTTCCACTGGTTGATTGTCCTCAACAGTCTTGGGAAATCCCTCCTTCGTCCCAGGTTGCTTCTCTCCTTGATTAGTTTCCCTCCCGTCTTCAGATGCTTGGTAGAATAATTTGACACCCCCCCCCTACTTCTTTGGGGCGGCCCCTCAAATACTGGAATACTGCTATCATATCACCTTTAGTCCTTCTTTTCGTCAAACTGGACAATCCCAATTCCAGCAACCGTTCCTTATATGTTTTATACGTCCCCCACCCCACCCCGGTCCTTCTTTTCTCTAGAGCAGTGTTTCCCAAACTTGACAATTTTAAGGCATGAGGACTTCAACTCCCAGAATTCCACAGCCAGCGTTGTTGGCTGTGGAATTCTGGGAGTTGAAGTCCTCATGCCTTAAAATTGTCAAGTTTGGGAAACACTGCTCTAGAATGAGTGAAACCCAATTCCTGCCACCGTTCTTCGTGCGTTTTTCGTCTCCGGGCCTTTAATCGTCTTAGTTGCGCTTCTCTGCCCTTTTCCCAACCTTTCAACATTTTGTGTGTGTGTGTTTTGTAACGTGGGGAACAAAACTTTGCAAAAGAAAAGCGGGCCTGGGGAGGCACTCCTTGGCTTTTTGCATGCTTTTGCAAAGCCGAGCCCCCCCCCCCCTCCACGCCAGAGCCTTGACGTGCCAGAGCGTTGACACTTGCCAAAGCTGGGTGGGGATGGGGGCGGCTTGTGTGCTGGGGGGAGGCGGGACTCCCCGGGAGGCGGGCCCTGTGGATGACAAGGAGGGTCAGCCAGTGCCTGGAACGCTACCCAAGCCTGCTGCCTCCTCCTCCTCCTCCTCCTTCTCCGCATTCTCACATTCGCCGCAGCAGCGCATAGCTCCCTCTGCTGAGATCTGCACCCGAGAAGCCTCTGCTCCCTTTCCAGGGCGGTGAGTATGCTGCGTATCCCTTGAAGCATGCTCCCCCCGGCCAGCCCATCGGTTGAAGCATGCCCCCCCTCCCGGCCAGCCCATCGGTAAAACCTGGAGGGGGTCTTGGCAAAGCAGGGAAGCCAAGGTTGAGGGTGTCCCCCGCGCAGAGCCTAGCCGTTCCCGGGGAAGTTGGTGCCTTGTGCCGTATGGGGGGGGGGCTTCCGTGCGGTGCCTCTGCGGGGCTTCACCGCTTCTTGGAATGTGTCTCACCGGATGACTCATTGCTCTGACGGTGAAGACTGAGAATCAGGGCATTCAGGGCTCCGAGGCAGCCTTCCCCCCCCCCTTGGCATTCCTTCCCCCCTCTTCCGTCTCTCCGATCCTTTTTGCCTGTAGTTTAACTTCACGCCAGAGTGTTGATTTGGGGGGGTGGTCATGCAGCAGGCTGCGGGGACAGCAAGTGTGTGGGGGGGTGGTCTCCGAGCTCAAAGTTGTTCCGGAAATCTTGCAGCCTTGCATGCCAGTTTTGGGGGGGGGGTTGCCCCAGAGTTAGATGGGGGTGATGGTGATGGGGGGGGGTGTCCCGACTTATTTTCCAAACAAGTAATGGAAACTCACCCAGGAGAGAAGCAATCTGGAACGAAGGAGAAACTTCCTCAGAACGAGGGGAATTAACCTCGCCTCCAGAAGTTGTGGGTGCGCCCAACGCTGGAGGTTTTTTTTTTTTTTTAAGTAAAGACCCGACCAGCCACCTGTCTGGAATGGGGTAGGGTCTCCTGCTAGAGCAGGGGGGTTGGACTAGAAGACCTCCAAGGTCCCTTCCAGCTTTATTCGGATGGATTTGGCTTCGCGACTAACCCCCCCCAACCCCGTTAATCCGCCTCGCTGGCTTGGGAACTCTTTCCTGGCCTTTCTCGCCCCTCTGCGGGGGGGGGGGGAAACAGCTCCTGCTGGAAAACAGGATCGGAGTTCAGCCCGGAGTCCCTTGTTAGTGGCTGGAAGCTCGGAGTCAGCCCTGGTCTCTTTAAAATAAAATTTAAAAAAAAAAAAAGGCAAGCTAGTCTCAAGAACCAGGAAGTGCTTTGATCCCAGGGAGGAGGGAGGGAGGGAGGGAGGGAAGCCGGGTGGGTGGGAGGGGGAGAGGCAGGGGGCGCGAAGGGGGAGGGGTCTCCATGCTTTACTGCTGCAGCAGCAGACCCGCAGCACTCCCATCAAAGTGGCAACGGGAGCCCTCCTGGGTTTACCCCCCCCCCTTCTCTCTCCAGCCTGGCAGACTGCAGCAATAACGCCGGTCGCAGCTGGTTCGGCTCCAGGAGGTGGGATGGAGACGAGGCACGGGGAGGGGGGGGGCGCTTGCCCGGGTGACGAGGATCTGGTTCCCATTAGGGACCCTTTGGGGGCTGGATCGGTAGCCGGGGTTGGGTTGCAGGGCGCCCCCGCCCCCACCCGCCGGGACGGCAAGCAAGGATGCTGGCTGGTGAATGCATGAGCTTCCCGGGGGCATCAAAGCCCCCCCCCGTGCGCTGCTGGTGCTCCTGCTGCACCTTGCCCTGCGTCCGCAGCTGGTCCTTTAACACTTTCCGTTTTTGCTTCTCTCTGCTGCTGCTGCTGTTGGCGAAGTTTCCTTGTCCGACGCTGGGATGGCTGTGCCCACGCTGCAGGGGAGCTGCCTCCTCCTATGGTAAGCAGGACGGCCGGTGTGGCAGACCATGGACTCACTGAGACGCGCAGCGGAGGTGTGAAAATGTCGAACGGCAACCGGGCCCTGGTGGTGGACTTTATTTCCTACAAGCTGTCGCAGCGGGGCCACAGCTGGAGCGCGATCGAGGGCAGCGGGGAAGACCGGACGGCGCTGGCCGGCGAGATGGGCGGCGTGCTGAACGGCAGCCCCTCTTGGCACCCCAGCCCCGGCCCCGTGGTCCACGGGGCGGCCGGCCACCCGAGCCTGCTGGAAGACCTGGACGAGGCCCCCCAGGCGGAAGTGAGGCAGACGCTGCGGGAAGCCGGGGACGAGTTCGAACTGCGCTACCGGCGCGCTTTCAGCGACCTGACCTCGCAGCTCCACATCACCCCCGGCACCGCCTACCAGAGCTTCGAGCAGGTGGTGAACGAACTTTTCCGCGACGGGGTGAACTGGGGGCGGATTGTGGCCTTTTTTTCCTTCGGCGGGGCGCTGTGCGTGGAGAGCGTCGACAAGGAGATGCAAGGCCTGGTGGAGCGGATCGCCACCTGGATGGCCACTTACCTGACCGAACACCTGGACCCCTGGATCCAAGATAACGGAGGCTGGGTAAGCCTTGGCAAAGGACCGGGGCGGTGGCGGGTGGGACGGGGGGGAGCGAGAGGGGTGCCCCCTTCCTTTCCCCCTATAAAATCAGCTGTGCCGTACAAGGGGATCAGCTGTGCCATACAGGTAGCCCTCGACTTAACCACAGTTCATTTAGTGACCGTTCCAAGTTACGACGGCACCAAAAAAAGGGACCCGGGACCGTTTTTCACACTTACGACCGTTGCAGCCTCCCCATAGTCACGTGATCAAAATTCACTTGGCAACTGACTTGTATTTACGATGGTTCCAGTGTCCCGGGGTTGTGTACACCCCTTTTGCGATCTTCTGACGAGCAATGTGACTTATGACCGTTTTTCACACGACCGTTGGTCGCGTGATCAAAATTCGGACGCTTGGCCACCGTCTCGTATTTATGATGGTCGCGGCATCCCCTGGGGGGGGGCACGCGATCTCCTTCGGCAACCTTCCGGCCAGCCGAGGAACCTGGATTCACTTAACGGCCGTGGGGCTCCCTTAACGATTGCAAGCGATTCGCTGACCGACGGTGGCCGAGAAAGCCGCAAAATGGCTCCCAACTCACTCCGTTGCTTGCTTTCCTAACCGCGGACATTCTGCTCTCAACTCACTTGGCCAAGGTCTCGTTTAGCAACGTAAATTTGGTAGCCCACTGTGGTGGTAAGTCGAGGACTACCTGTGTCTCTGGCAGCCCCCGATCCCCGGCGAGAGAGGGCCAGTCGCGATGGTGTCGCCGTGCCTAGCGGCATCCTTTTGGCACATCCTTTCTGGGAATTCCTGTCTTTTTGCCCCCCCCCCAAAAGGTGGGGGAAGAATCTGTGCCCTTTGCGTAAAATCCTCCACCTGGCATTTTTATCGGGGTACGCAGAAGCAGCCTGTGGGGTAGAGGGGGACCCCTTCCCCAAACCGCTTAATCGCTCAGTGACGAACCTCCGCCAGGATTTCCGATTTCCCTCGTCTGCTTTCCGCGCAAAGATCGCTGGGATCCAGTGGGGAATGAAAAGGTGGGAGGGGTTATCTTGCCCTGGGGGCCGGCCCTAGCACCGCCCCCCCCCCTCCACGGATCTTGTCCATTGGAACAGGATCAAAGGCGCGCGGCTGCCTCACCTTGTTTAACCTGGCAACCGCTGTGGAGGCGGAAAGAGGGAACTGTTGAACTTCGGTCTTGTGGCAATGAGGGGAGAATGTTTGTAGCCCAAGGGTTGACCTGTGGGGTCCTGGGTGCTCTCTGAGCTGGGTGGTCTTCTTGCAGACCTTTCGTGACCCAACTTGGGAATATCATCAATGGGAAGGAGGAGGAGGAGGAGGAAGAAGAGGAGGACTGTGGGGTCCTGGGTGCTGTCTGAGCTTGATGGTTTTCTTGCAGACCTTTCGTGACCCAACTAGGGAACATCATCAGTGCTAGAAGGGAGGGGTGTTTGTGGAGAGGAGGAGGAGGAGGAGGAGGAGGTGGACTGTGGGGTCCTTGGTGCTCTGTGAGCTAGGTTGTCTTCTTGCAGACCTTTCATGACCCAACTAGGGAACATTGGCCCTAGAAGGGAGTGGAGTTGCAGAGAGGAGGAGGAAAAGGAGGAGGAGGAGGAAGAGGAGGAGGAGGGAGGAGGAGGAGTTGCAGAAGGAGGAGGAGGAGGAGTTGCAGAGAGGAGGAGGAGGAGGAGGAGGAGTGATGTGGGGTCCTTGGTGCTCTCTGAGCTGGGTGGTCTTCTTGCAGACCTTTCATGACCCAACTAGGGAACATCATTGGCACTAGAAGGGAGTGGGCTTTGTCGAGAGGAGGAGGAGGAGGAGGAGGAGGAGGAGGACGACGACGACTATGGGGTCCTTGGGGCTCTCTGAGCTGGGTGGTCTTCTTGGAGACCTTTCATGACCCAACTAGGGAACATCATCAGTGCCATCTCTGGTAACCCAACTTGTCGATGGAAACCCTGGCTTGTTCCCGGAACCTCAGGGTTTGTGAAGTTGCACGTTGGCTTGGAGACAGGTGTTGTCTGAGACTTGCAGGGGTTGAGGTTGCTCCCCGGAGGGGGGAAAAATACGTGACTTCCCTTTCCTCCGAAGCAGGTCCATCGTGTGTTGCTGCTCCAGCGAGTAAGTCTGGTTACTCTGCTTGCGGGTACCTCAGAGGTCCAGGGGCTGAGTCACTGCCCTGCAGGCCTTGTGCACCACTCTGTTACGTGCAAAGTGGTTGGTTGTGTCAAGTGTTTCTCAATGTCGGCCACTTGAAGAGAGGAGTGGACTTCAACTCCCAGAATTCCGCAGCCAGGATGCTACAACTTGGGCGCCCGTGCCAACATGGTCGCCAAGGTTCACGCTTAACACCTACGTCAAGCGTGTTGTGGGTTGTGCAGATGCCTTTCGTTAAGTGATAAGAACCCCAATACAGATAGTCCTTGACTCAACCACCGCAATGGGGGGCTGGAACCTCCGTCGCTAAGCAAGACCTTCGCTAAGTGAGCTTTGCCCCCGTTTCACCCCTTTCCTCGCCCCGTGCGTTGAGCACATTGCGGCCATTGTTAAATCAGGGACACCATTGTGAAGTGGATCCGGCTCGCCCAGGGGTAGGCAACCTTGGCTCTTTTATGACTGGTGGACTTCAACTCCCAGAATTCCTGAGCCAGCATGAGGGAACTATGGCCCCCTCATGACTCGTGGACTTCAACTCCCAGAATTCCTCAGCCAGCCATGCTGAGGGGAAAGGGAGAGGTTTCCAAGCTGAGCCAGGTTGGCTCAGGAATTCTGGGAGTTGAAGTCCACGAGTCATGAGGGGGCCATAATTCCCCCATGCTGGCTCAGGAATTCTGGGAATTGAAGTCCACGAGTCATGAGGGGGGGCATAGTTCCCCTCATGCTGGCTCAGGAATTCTGGGAATTGAAGTCCATGAGTCATGAGGGGGGGCATAGTTCCCCTCATGCTGGCTGAGGGATTCTGGGAGTTGAAGTCCACGAGTCATTCAGGGGTCATAGTTCCCCCATGCTGGCCCAGGAATTCTGGGAGTTGAAGTCCACCAGTCATAAAAGAGCCAAGGTTGCCTACCCCTGGGCTTGCCCCATCGACTTTGCTCGTCGGAAGGGTCCCAAAAAACGGGAATGGCGTGACCCCCTCTGGGACACTCCGCCGCCATCGTAAAGACGAAGCAGTCGCCAAGGGTCCAAATGTCAATCAGCGACTGCAACGGGTCGTAGGTGTGGAAAAAAGGGTCTTAACTCCCTTTTTTTCTGCCCAGCACTGGTGTAACTTCGAATGGCCATTAAATGGACTGAGGACTACCTTTAATACAGGATGCAGATAGGGGATTCCCTCCGTGGGGCGGGGAAGGGCAAGGCTGGGCAAAGGGGAGGAGGAGGTGAAAGGTAGGAAGAGCTTCTGGGGAGGGCGGGGGGTCAGGTATGCCTAGTATGCAGTTGTCCCAGGAACACAGCCTGGGGTGTGTCTGGCCAGGTAAACCACAGTCTGTTCCTCTTCCTCCTGGATAGCAGAAACAGAATTCATAGCCCCCCCCTCAATTGTATAAACATAGTTTTATCAACAATTTAAAAATACCTTAGGGAAAAGCTTGTACGAAAATGCAAAACTTCGTGGAAAGAAGGAAGATAAATGCTTTCTACAAGCGTTTGCAAAAACTGTAAATATTAAGCGACATGACCTCATGTGTTTGCAAGTAAAAAGCTTGCCAACTAAATATCTTAGTTGGGTAAGCACATTGCTTCAAAATGCTATAGTTGTGTAAACTTTTCTTTTTTTAAAAAGAAAAGGTCTTACCTTTGATGACTAGAATAGAATAGAATAGAATAGAATAGAATAGAATAGAATAGAATAGAATAAAGGAGACCTTGGAGGTCTTCTAGTCCAGCCCCCTGCTTAAGCAGGAGAACCTATACCATCTCAGACAAGTGACTGTCTAGCTTCTTCTTAAAGCCCCCTTTGGTCTCTCTTTCTCTTTCTCTCTCTCTCTCTCTCTCTCTCTTTTTCTCTTTCTTTATTTCATTCTCTCTTTCTTTCTCTCTCTCTCTTTCTCTCTCTCTCTCTCTCTTTCTTTCTCTCTCTTTCTCTCTTTCTTTCTTTCTCTCTCTCTTTCTCTCTCTCTCTCTTTCTCTCTCTCTCTTTCTTTCTCTCTTTCTTTCTTTCTCTCTCTCTTTCTTTCTTTCTTTCTTTCTTTCTTTCTTTCTTTCTTTCTTTCTTTCTTTCTCTCTTTCTTCTGGTTCTCCCCCCCCCCTCCAAACTCACCCTAACCTCCAGCTTCCGAGATTAATCCTGGACCCAGTGGAGATTTCCACTGTCGCTCTGGGTGACGACGGGGCCCTTGTCTCCTGGAGACCGAGGCGATAATGTAATCTGATTTTGTCAACGAACTCCCTGGCGGGATTTAGATTAAATTGCCGGATGGAAAGTCACCACCGGCCCTTGCTTGTGAATGCGGGGGGGGGGGGAGGAAAAGGAAAAAAAAAAAAACAATACAGAATAACAGAGCTGGAAGGGACCTCAGAGGTCTTCTAGTCCAACCCCCTGCCTGAACGGGAGACGCTCTGCCATTCCAGACAAGTGTCTCTTTTGGAAAACCTGCAGGGATGGAGCACCTACAACTTCTGGGGGCAGGTTGTTCCACTGGTGAATTGCTCTCAAGGCCAGGAAGGTCCTCCTTAGGTCTAGGTTGCTCCTCTCCTTGTCGAGGACTACCTGTAAACAGAGCTGGAAGGGACCTTGGAGGTCATCTAGTCCAACCCCCTGCTCAGACAGGAAACCCTATACCATTTCAGACAAATAGCTATCCAATCTCTTCTTAAAAACTTCCAGGGTTGGAGCATCTACAGCTTCTGGAAGCAGGTTGTTCCACTGGTTCATTGTTCTGTCAGGAAGTTTCTCCTTAGTTCTAGGTTGCTTCTCTCCTTAATGAGTTTCCATCCGTTGCTTCTTCTCCTGCCTTCTGGGGCTTTGGAGAATAGCTTGACTCCCTCTTCTTTGGGGCAGCCCCTGAGATACTGGACTA